TTGCAGATTTCGGAGACTGACAGTATTGATGGGCAGTGGTGGCAACGATTTAATGGATAAAGTTATTTACTTTTGAAATTTACGTATTTGAACGTTATTAACATACTTTATCATTTCAATTATTTCAAAAACTTGAGATTTAATGTTTAATTAATTTTCTTGAATTAATCAAATGAGTTTTGTTATTGACGAGATTTTACAATTATAAATATGATGTTTAAAATATAGTTATTTTTGCGAATCTTTTTAATTAATTCAAGACAAATGAGGATGACGTGGCACTTCAGGTTCACGGAACTCGGGACATTACACGTACGCATAGTATAAGTTGAGTGTACGTATAGTAGAATGATTTTAACTTCATTCGCCCCAAAATGGGATCTCATATGCATAGTTTTATATTTTTGGGGCCAATTGTGCAAATTGGTCCCCGAACTTTTCGCAATGCATTTTTTATCATTTTCATTTGTTTCATCCTTTAGCTTCCAATTGCCTCTAATTGAGTTTGTATCAACTTCACTTCATTTTATGTCCCGACGCGACTATTGAAAAGTTGCAATTTAGTCCCCATAATTTTAATTTTGCCATTTTCTCTTTTTTTTGTTGTTTTCTCTAATTTTTTATCAAATCACGAGTTTTACCAATTAGACACAATATAACTCAAATTAAGATATATTTCATCAAAACAATTATAAAATGTCACTATTTAAAGCTCCAAATAAGTGTATAAAAAAATACACTTATCAACTAGACTCAAATTATGATAAAAACTGTCATTCTGTACAGTCTAGACTCTTTAGGTTAAAAAGGGGCTAAATATTTCATACATAAAGAGTCAACCAAAGGAAAAGGAAAAGAAAACTGATCCCTTCGGAAAGCCATGCCGTCGCATGGCACACACCATGTGGCTGCAGTCAGTCTGTAGAGTCTCCATGCGATCGCATGGGTCTAGCTTAGGACCAAAAATTGCAATTTGGTTCCTGAACTTTTTCCATTATGCACTTTAGTTCTTTTCAATTCTTTTTAATCATTCACCTTCTTT